TTGAAAGGCAAAAATTACTCTTTGAGCTTCTTCATTTTCTCCCAATCTCGGATCTTTCCCTTGCCTCTCCATTGTCTACTCACTTGCATGTGTTCCCACGAAGTAGAACCTCTCCCCTTGAAGTGTATAGACACCAATTTCACCTTTTTCTCTTTAGAGATGTCACAATATTCAAACACTCTTTCTAGAGAATAGTGTTTACCTTTAACCAATCCACAAACTCATCCAGGTTACTCATGGAATTCAAAAAATTCAGCCTTTTATGTTGTCCTCCCATTTGTACTCAAATCTTCATAGCGACGCTCATAGCCCTTGTAAAGCAACAAAAGGATTCTCAAAATGAGTTTGAGTATCCTCAGAAGGATCACTACCATCGGTAGGAGCTTGCAAAATCTGCACCATATTGATTAATGCAGCAATTTTCCCTCTCAACTCATCAATTTCATCTCTTGGATGTGGATTTCCATTGTTCCTTCCAAAAAAAGGATTCAACTTGGCTTGTCTCCCAAATTTGCAGCAAATCCTCTACCTAGACCATATTATCTACCTCTACCTCATTGAGCCATCAATTCAAAATCAAAATTGTAGCAACTTTGACGCACCGTGATTTTCTATGCAAAGTCTCTGCAATCAACACAATTATGTTGTACCACAGCAGCCAACTATAAGCAATACATCTCAGTCCAATCGATTCCATAACACCAAGTCGAAGGCCACTTCAAAATCGAAGGATCAAGCAAAATCCATATTGAAGATCAATCAAAACTCCAAGTTGAAGATCAATCAAGATCCAAATCAAAGATCAAAAAAATATATATTTCGTTCGCTGTTGATCAAAAAAAAAAACCGAAGAAGAAGGTCCAAATTGAAGATCAAAGACTGAGATTAAGACATGGTCACTAGTTAGAAGCAAAATCAATGTGTAATCAACCGCGATCTTGTACAATCTTTGAAGTGGCTCAATTACTTTGTGCAAGCTCATAACTAGAATCAACTGATGTGCTTCAACTGCGATCAAGATTCGATTTCATTGAACTCAATCACTGGTCGCGATATGTTCCAGATCTCAAACAAATCTTGCAAAGAGATTCTGAACTAAATCAACTACCAACCGAGCTTATGAACCAGAGTTAAGATCAACTTGTGAAATGAATTCCAACTGCAAACTAGTGTTTTAGACCTCAGGTATGTAATTTCCTCACAATTCATATAATCAATACATGGAATAGAAACAAGAACATGTGCTCTCATACCAAATAATGAAATCAAAAGTGAAGATAAATGAAATTCTAGAGAGAGAATCCCAATTAGGGATACAAGAGTAAAGCTCTGAATTTTACAATCAAAAACATCATAAGCTAGTTATGGAAACCACCTCTTATTTATAGACAAAACTAGCTCAACCACCAACTAACAATGCTAACACAACTACTACTCACATCAGGAACTTCCGATTTCCAACTAATTTGGACATAGTTCTGTTTTCTATTCTAAATATTTAATTTTTGGCTAGGTAATAAATAATATGTTGATACCTGAAAATGCAAGGGCGCATCCCAGACAATATACCCTTTAGCAAATTGAGCTCCAATAAAACTTCTACTTTAATTAAGCTATACTAAATTATCTCAAATACCAATTTTGTTTAAATTATTCCAATGGATTACTTCCAGTAATGCGTCCAATGGGTCTCCTAAAGTCCCAAAAAAACATGATAAATCTCTTCCAACTGAGCATGTTTTTTATTTTATTTTTTTCTTATTATAAATGAATTTTATGCCAGTAATAAACTTGAATTTTGAGGTACCCAACACTTCAACAATATATTACTTCGTTTAGACGTCTTTTAGTCTTTGCAGTGAGTCACCATTACAAACACATTTTCATATAACTTATGAGGTGATGCTTTCACATGCAGTCCATGAAAGAGTGGAGGCATGTGTTATACCTCAACCACTAACAAATATCTATAACATTTGACAAAAATGCATAAAAACTCTTCTCAGCAAATTAAAAGAAAAGTCGTCCCAAGTCGTCTTTCCAAGATTAGAAAAATTATAACCAAAAGAATTCACTAACACTGATTTACTTAAATTGGCGAAACTACTGACAAAGTCTGGTAGTTGCCACCTCCTAGCCACAACAAAAGGAGTTCAAGGGATTTTATCCAATGGATTTTATAAGATAGTCCACAATTGTCCTCTCATCAAATTTTAGTTGAAACATTCGTTAACAAAAATGGCTCCAAAATCTCACTGTCTTGGCCACCCTTCAAGAACTCATGTAAAACTAGTATGTAACCTCAATATTACTTTCTACATTTTTTAAACCAACAAGTTGTCCTAGGAAATATGAAATTTTAAAAGGTGACACTAACTTGGTCTTGAAACAGAACAATTATTACATAGATGTCCCTATAATTAGGTGTAAAGGAGATTACTGTGTTATCAGAGTTTTATCAGAGTGGAAAAACAAGTTAAGAGGCACTGGAGACACGAAAGAGCATCTAGGAGAGAGAAAGTGAGAGATGCTCAAAAAAGGAGTCTAGGAGAGAGATAAAGCAGACCAGTCAAAGAGAAACAACGAGGCAGTGGATGACCAGAACTCAAGTTTAAAGTGAAGGCCTCAACTTGACATTAAGTATGAAATGTTTGTGATGTTAAAGAGGTACAACCTCTATATAGAGAAGGTGAGAGCACGGGGCCATAATTGAATATCCAAGAATGTTGCTAGCTTTTTTGGGAAGGTTTACGCTTGTTGAGATATTACTAGGTTGTCAAAGATTGCCTCTTGGCAAAGAACAATAGCTTCCAGAAGTCTCCAAAGTATGGTTCAATGGTGAGGTCTCTCTCTTAGTTGGGTTGGCCCAAGACAATTTGACCTACATGCGGTACAATGATAAACAAAGCCTTTATATCTAGTCTCCAAGACATAAGTCCCCAAAGTCCCACGATATGTACCAAGCAGTTTGGCAAGTCATAGACTCTTCAATGTGTTCCCTTGATTGGTACCAAAATGTATATAAATTTAGGCCCATTAATATGCACTTGTTATGACATTTAACATTGTTACTTGATGCATTTTATTTCAATTGAATGATTGCAAATCACAAGAGTTGTTTGCTTGGAACTTGGCTTTAAATGAAGGTTTAGAGGCTCAAAGAAGTAACAGAAGTACCAAAATGTAACCTAAAGGAGCTGAGTAGAGAATGTAACAGAAAAGAGCTGACAACTCTACACCACCCAGCCTCGCTTGAGTAGTGGGATACCCTGTAAGGGTTCAAAATCTCAAAATTTATGTCTTTTGTCACAACAATTGTTCACTTGAGAGCACTCATAGGTGCTGCTCGAGCGGTGTTCGACACGAACTTCATAATTTTTACGTTGTTTTGGCTCTTTTTAACCCAAATTTACTTGGGACTATAAAAAGGCAACTTACAGGAAAATAGGTCGTTCCAGATTTGAGAAGACAGCTCCCAAGCAAGAAGAAGGTGATTCCAAATGTTCAAGCATGGTGTTCTCAATGAAGATGGTGGTTTCCTCCCTCTCCATAAGGGCTAGGCTCTTTCTTTAGGACGTCGATAAGACCCTAGCCAAGTAACAATGATTTTTGTATCTTAATTCTAGGATTGATGATTAATCTGACAATTGTATAACTTCAAGGCAGCTGTATTCAATTGAGTTTATCTTTTCAATTTGGCACAGTGTATTTGATTTCTATCAACTGAGATGCATGGTTATATAATGGTTTTATTCATACATGTAATTGAGAATTTAGATAATCTATGCTTAGATTAGCCAAGTCATGCTCAATTTGGTGGTAGAAGCCTCATCCTGGACAGAGATAAGTCATACCCAATTGTCCATTACATGAATCCTCTTGATGACATTGTTGGGACTTGTAGCCACAAGAAGTCATGAATCATGATCATATTAATCAATCAATTCTCAAAACTACACATTAATTACAGTTACAAAGTTATACTCCCACCGTCCCAAAATATTAGTCCCTTCTTCCATTTTTCATTGTCCCAAAATATTAGTCCCTTTTCAAAAATCAACGATTAAAATAATATGAATTTCCTATTTTGCTCTTCTTTTAAATTTATTAACAATAAAAAAGTACAATTATGACAATTGATATTCCCAAAAAAATGTACTATCAAAGGGTAATTTTGGAAAACTAATACTTTTAAAGTGTAATAATTGTACTATCAAAAAAAGTTAGATTCCCCAAAAGGGACTATTATTTTGGGACGGAATAAGTATTGGATTTGAAAACCCTAAGTTCTTCTGAATTCTTGAAAAACAATTTTCTTTCGATTTTGTTTTATTTGATTTAATTTCAATTTTTTTGTTCACTCAAATTAAGTTGAGAACCAATTTCCAAATTAGCACAACTTAGCCTCTTAGTCCCTAAGGTTCAACACCCGGGCTCAAGCCACCATTTACACAAAACGGGGCATTAGTTTGATACTAGTTTTTAAACGATCATCCCTAAATGCTCTCAACTTTATATTCTTCTATGTGCCCCTTTGCTCCCACGTTTGGGTCCATATCTATTAACTGGTCAGATTTCATGCTTTCAAGGTAAGTTTTCGGCAATATTTAATCCTATACATAATGGATTTCCCCTGTATGCTTGGAAATAAGAAGCAATGTAGTATTGGTTTTGATAATTTAACTTCTATTCTATTTTCTTTGAACAAATCATAAAATTTCATAAATGATTAATCAAAAATTTCCTCTTTTTTTCTAATCATAGGCCAATCAACATTATGGAGTTTCTACAGCCAACTTGATAAAAATATATGTATATGTATATGTATAAAATCATACCCAGTGCATAAGGACTGATCTGCAATTGTGTTAATTATGGTAATTTAGTAGTTTCGAACTACATGATGACAATATCCATATGTTTGAAATATATAGCATATAAAGATGGCAAGAAAGAACAAATGAAGAGAGAGAGAGAGAGAGAGTGAGTTGAGAGCACACCTTTTTCAAGATGTTGCTTGCGCACACGCTTTACATGGCGGAGATTTTCAAGTGGTGCAATTTGATTTAACTTCCTAACCAAAATTCAGAATCCATTGTCATTAAGAAAATCATGAATAAGGGTCCGTTTGGATGGATGTGGATTTGATATTAATTATTCAAGGAGAATAACTCAAATTTAGATTTGATAGTTTACCTAAGAATTCCATTATTGAATTAAATAGCTTTATTATCATGATGAATTTCAAATAGCTATATAAAAGTAATTATTTAAAATCCTGCTAAGGATTCTCTTTTAGCAACAATGATAGTACTAAAATATATATCTTGTGTATCATCTACTATAACTTTTTCTATCACCTATAATAGCAAATTCTCTAATACTTTTAACCTCACATCCCTAACAAGAAAATATAAACAGAAGCAGAAAAAAAAATCACCTTGTAATCAATTAACACTTCAAACCAACATGATAAATATACATATATATAAACATAATGAATAACAGACCTTACAAGAGTATTGGTGTGTTTTGGGTCAATCAGGGCAGCATAGACATTAACTGTATGTAAGAAAAAATTAAAAAAAAAACAGTTAAACATCATAAGGTCATTAGTTAGTTTTGTTTTTTTTTTTAGGGGAAATTACCCATAGGTCCCATGGGAAATATGTGATCTCCATTTAATCCCATAACTTTTTCACTACACCCAAAAGTCCTTTCCTCTCTCTCTGCTTTTTGCTTCCCTTCCTCTCTCGTTTTTTTTTCTACATTTTTCTGTCACCGTGTTTGTCATGGAAGAGGACCATCGGTGATCATATCTTTCTCTATTGATCGGGGTTCATTGATAACCACCAAGCATTGAAATCAACTCCGACGAAGAACAATTAAAAATGTGTTGGACTAATTGGTGCAAGTATTTTGTTTTGGGTTTTGAACTTGTTACATGGGACTTATCAGTAAGTTCCCCTTTTTTTTATAACTCGGTGTCCGGCCCATTAGACCGACTAATCTGGGGACCAATCTCACAGTGCACTTGGCCCAAATTGTTTGCACCTGAGGCCTTAGAGGGAACACACCCCCAAGTTAGTGTGAGAGAGATGAAAATTACAACAAGAAGAAGAAAAAATGGGGTTGTAAAGTAAAGTTACCAGTGGGTTGTTGGTGAGGTGGAATAGGAGGCTTCTCTGGGATATGAACAATTTCCCAGTCCCTCTTACTACTCATCAGAGTCATCACTTGAGTTCAAAGTCCTGAAAAAATTCCAGGGTTTTTTATAAGGTAAAAATGTATGTGGGTCTTTAAAGAGCAACAACATAGTTTTGAAGTCTGAAAAGGAAAAGCTACTGCAATTGTTTTTCAATAAGATAAGGCCTCAAAGATTAGATAAGCAATCCCAATGATCTTTGTATCAGACCCAACTACAAAAAAAACACAAAAAAACAAATAGGCGATTGATTACCTTACCTGCTGCGTGTTAGCACCGCCGATGCCGATGCCGATGCCGATGGGAAGCAACGGGGCAGTGGAGTCGATGGATCAGCGGGTATGGGTGAGAAGCAAATCACAAATGTCTTGTTAAGTAGGTATATTAGCCTGTTTGGCATTGCGTGCGAAAGTGCTTATAGCTGATGCCTAAACAGGTTATAGCTTATAATTATAAATATAAATTGATTTTTGACTTCTTTTTAAAGTATCTTCTGCCTCACTCATAGAATAAGCTGATTTCTGACTTTCAAAAAGTTATAAGCTATAAGTTAAACCAAACACATCAAAATAGCTTAAATTAAGCTAAAAATTAAAATAAGCTGATTATAATTTCTGCTAAATAGGCACAATATAATTGAGAGTAATGCTACAATCCAAATGATTTATTAATCACCATGTTTGTTCCACTTTTTTTTAAAACACATTTGAGAAAATTCTGTGTATTTTTGGTTTGGATTTGTATTGTGATTTTGGGAAAAAAAATTTAAAAAAATTGTTTGATTTGTAAATTTTTCAAAATAATATCTAAAATCAATTTTTTTTTTTTACCTATCAATTAATTATTTTTTCTCTCTCTTCTCTACTACTCAATCATTTTTTCTTTTACACCTATCTACTTAATTATAACAAAATATCAAATCATTCCAAATTCTCAAACTCCAAAACTACTTTCAAAATATACAACTAAACAAACCAAAAAAAACTATAAACTCTCTCCCAAAATAATTTTTAAAAGGCAGTGGCTTTGATTAAGTCCAAGATCAGACTGGACCGTGCTGTTGGGCCTATGGGCAGGGCCGGCCCTGAGTTTTCGGAGGCCTAAGACGAAATAATTTTTTGGGGCTTTTTTAGATATTTAAAAAAAAAACCACTATGTTTGGTTTAGAGTTTATAAAAATAATTGTTTCAGTTTGCAATTCGTATTTTTTTATATCTTTTTGTATTTGGTAACTTTGTTTTTAAAAAAAAAAACACAAATATTATAGTTTTTAAGCGTTTCTAAATTAGATGTATCTACAAAATAAATAAATAAAAATTGTGCGAAATTTTTTTTCAAAAAATACTAAAAAATACATAATTGGGCCATAAAGAGGAAAAAAAAAATAGGTCATACAAAATTAGACTAACAACTAATACATATACATATTTTTTTGTTTTTTTAATTGGACTAACAACTAATACTTATAAATATTTTTTAATTTGGCCTTTTATCAATTGGGCCAAATAGATTTTTTGAAGTCCCTTTAAAATGGCTTAAATTAATTAAACAGAATTGGGTCATTTTAAGTTTTTAATATAGTGCAAGAGTAATAATTTTAGGGCCTTTTTTTTTACCTAATTTTTGGGGCCCTAGGCATAGGCCTGACGAGCCTTAGCCCAGGGCCGGCCCTGCCTATGGGGGCCCACCACGGGTTCCGTTTTGATAATTCGAACCGTTTAATGTGTAGAACTCGTCGCGTACTATATGCTTATAAAAAATCACGTTGATCGGATATCGATAGCTATGTGAACAAAAGAGTTTTTTTATCAACTGTTAATTTTTTCACCGTCCATTTTTTTTATACAAAACTGATTTGATCACATAGTTATTGATATCCGATCAACGTGATTTTTTACAGGCATGTAATACTCGACGAGTTCTACACATTGAACGGTTCGGATTATCAAAACAGGCCAAAAAATGAGCCCCATGGGCCGAACTGAATGGGTCCAGTCCTGATCTCAACTTGAGACAAGCTGGACCCTTTTTAAAAACTACTCTCCCAAAACCAAACCAAACATACTCTCAAATTTTTTTTTTTTTTGTATTTTTTTGTTTTCAATTTTTTTTTAATATTTTAAGTAATTTTTTAAAATTTTTAGACACACTTAGGGTTTGTTTGAGAAGTGGGTTGGCCTTTTGGCTTTTTAATTTTTTTGGCTATTTTAGCCTGGGACTTTTTGTTTTTTCTTGACTTTTTTGTGAGATGAAGAATGTAAGCCTGGGACTTTTTGTTTTTTCTTGACTTTTTTGTGAGATGAAGAATGTAATGATTATGGGTTGGATGTGATATTTTGTCTTATTAGGCTAAAAAGTCTTTTTTGTTTTTTGTGTCTAAAATAGCCAAAAAAGTCCCAAGTTGGGCTTCTAGAACGAAGCCATACACTTAAAAAATATAATTTTCGTGAAAAAAATTTGCAAAAAAATTACTAAAACCAAAAATATAAATATATATATATATATAAATTCAGTATATTTTTTGTATTTTTGTGTATTTATTAATTTTTAAAAATATTTTTTTTTAAATACTTTACTTTTTAGATATATCTAAGTAAGCTGTATCTAAAAAAGATTAAAAAAATTGCGTAAAATTTTAAAAATATTCACTAAATTTTTTTTAAAAAAAATACAAAAAATAAAAGACTCAATTTCCAAAAAAAATTGAATTCAGAAAATTGAAACCAAACACAGTGAGTTATACTTAGCACTCCAACATTTTTACCAAAAATGATAGTTAATCCATCTACTTTTGCTCTTAGCAATTCTGTATTTTTAAAAAAAATTCCAATTTCAATTTTTGAAATGACATCTTACTATTGGGATTAATTATAACTTGAATTAAAATTTCTGAGATTAACTGAAATAATTAAAAATTTAGAAACTGAGAGGGAGATTTGTGCCGAGCAAATGGGCTGAGCATAATCGAAATCTGGACCACTGGCCTAGATCTTACAACTGGGCTAGAGAGAAGGCCAAGTGTTAGGCCGAGATACTTAATCAGCTTGGATCAAAGGCATGACCTAATCAAATGGCAGCCTGACTTTCAGTGGGGAAAATGGATGGCTTGTGATCTTGATCAGGCCAAAGAACTAGGAGAAATTTGCCTAGATGAACCAATACAACCGAGCCAAGGAGTAGACGAGGTCGATAACTATGCCGCGAATGAACCGATCATGTCGCCCATGATTTGAAGCGGGACGAAGTCACCTTGAGCTCACCGAGTTCAACTAAGCTAAAAATGTCTAGTTAGGCGTTTTATGTTTAGGCTGGTTGGTAGTAGCTAATCTTGGATGGTGGCATCGCACCAAGCTGAAGACAGTACAGCAGTAGTACCACGTAGTCCAATGGGAATGCAAAGAAAAGGATTCTGCTATCCATACCCGTCAATACTGTTTGACAATTTCGCCAACGCTGTTTGGCAATATTGGCGCACACACGTGTAAAGAAAAGAGAGGACAGTACTGCTACACATCCAGGAAAGAACAACAGAAGCAGTGCGCTTACAAGCTATATAAGCCCTACAACGCCTTCATGGAAGAGGTCAACAATTTCTCTTTACTCAAAGCTATCATTGCTTAGTCTTCCTTCTCTCTCTATGGGTGCTAACTTAACCGTCGGAGAGATTTTCCGACAACACACCCGCCGAATAGCTCACTGTCGTTGTGCTTGCAGGTTGAACAACATTGTTCGGAGCGACACAGAGCTTGGACACAAGGAGTATGAAAGGTGACGAATATTTGTTCTCCGTACAGAAACGAAATAAGATTGAGTGCAAAGCAAAGGAATGCAAAGTGAAATTTGCACCTATTCTAAAATTATGACATTTTGATATTGTTTGCTAGATTTTGATTTTGATATTGTCATTATAAATAGGGGGGAAAAAACCAGGGTTTAGCGCCTTTTTCAATTTAAATCTCAGGTTTTCAATTTTGACAATTTGTACCCTACCATCCACCCGTGTTGCAATCCGATCCCCCTGTCCATCTCCGTCTCTATTAGTTAACGGAAGACTGATTTAGGTGCCCAAATTGCCATAATCTTCAAGATTTAGGGCAAAAGACACATTTTTTAACCTTATCAATTCAAATTTCGCTTATCTATTTAAATATTTGTCCAAATAAAATTTTATCTGTCTAATTTTTTGTCTATCTGTTCAATTTTTCACCATATTTGAACATGTCTATTCTTGTAATCTATTGCTTCTTCATTACCCACTTTCTGTTAAAATCATTCCACAAACAAAGATTCATCATCATCACAGCATATATTCATCATCGTCATCATTATCATCAACAACAATAACAAAACAACAAAAAATCCTAGTCAACAACAACAAACTGTAAAGGTGAGGTGCATTTTAGCAAAAAAACACCATAAACATAAACTATGTGGTGCTTACCATCCATGAACCCCGATTCAAAAGGTTCAGATCTGTATACATATACATAAACATAAACATGTTTAAATACACCTACATAACGACAAGTTATTTAACGGAATGGTTAGTTGGCGTGCTGTAATTGGCCGGAGCTTCCGGATTGGTGGCGTGTTGTGCTAAAAGCACCGAATAATTTCTCGCGTGTTACCTATCACTGGCGGATGACACAACAAGTTATTTAACAGAATGGTTAGTTGGCGTGCTGTGATTGGCCTGAGCTTTCGGATTGGTGGCGTGTTGTGCTAAAAGCACCGAATAATTTCTCGCGTGTTACCTATCACTTTTGATAAATTACTATTCGCGCACGTGTGATACGTGTACATCTTAAATAAAAAAAAGAGCCGTGATTCCGACCTCCAGCACGGGGCACCTCCAACACCTCACCTCCACATGGGGGGTTGACCAAAAAAAAAAAAAAAAAAAATTTTTAACCAATGAGTACCCCCACTAGGAGTCCAACTCATTTTCGTAAAAAAAATAGAATCCACCCCAGCACCCCAGCTCCACGTGGGGCCTAGGTGGGAGATTGTGAGCAAGACTTAAAATAAAAAAGAATAAAAAAATAAATTGCGCCAATCAAAAAAAATAGAGGTGATGGAGTGGGGAAAGGGAGTCTGGGCATTTTTCAAAAATAAAATAAAATAATTATTATATATTGTATAATATTGCAGAGATTCTTTTCTAACAAACAAAAGGTTTGATATTTGAGCCTCATATCCTTCTTTTATTTTTATTTTTTTTAAATAAGAAAAAAATTTCAAGACAAGATAAAATCTATCATGAAATGTCACGAGAACAAAAAAAATTTGTGAAATATTTATATGATATATATATAGTACTCCCATGAAGGAAAAAAGTTTTTCAAAAGTTATATATTATTTGGTTTTTGTTCACCATTTTATATTAC